CCTCCATCCTCATCGCCATCGTCATCACCGCGCTCTACTCCGTGGTGTGCGTGGTGGGGCTGCTGGGCAACGTCCTGGTCATGTACGGCATCGTCAGGTGAGAGTGGGGCGCCCCAGCAGCACCCCACGCCGGCCTCGGCGCCAGGGAGGGCGTGAAAAGGGGGAGTGAGGGTGCGTTTGGGGGGTGAGCAGGTGTGAGAGGGGAGCGTGCACCGGGGGGGGGAGCGTGCACTGGGGGTGAGCGTGCATCACGTATGAGATGGCAGCCGGAGCCAGTGTGCACCGGGGATGAGTGTGCACCATGTGCAAGAGGGGAGCCGGCAGCAGAAGCGAGTGTGCCTCAGGACTGGGTGTACCCCAGGTGTGAGACAGCGGCAGAAGTGAGTGTGCACCAGGGGTGAGGAGGCAGCAGGGGCGAGTGTGCGCCAGGACCGAGTGTGTACCACGTGTGAGACAGCAGCAGAAGGAAGCGTGCACCAGGTGTGAGCGTGCACCGGGGGTGAGACAGCAGCAGGAGCGAGGGTGGGTGTGCACCGGGCGCTTGTGAGCAGGGGTCAGCAGAGGTGGCACCGAGATGGGTGTAGCCGGTGGGTGTGACGTGCGTGTGAACAGTGTGTGTGCGAGCAGAAATGTGTGTGGAGGATGTCCAGATGCCGTGCGAGAGGAAAAAGCAAAGACTGCGTGTGCACGGAGCAGCACGGGGGGGTGCACGGGAGCCGGCGTTTGGGGGGGGAGGCTGGGACCCCCACCCCGACCCCAGCAGCCGCGTGTTCCTCGCTCCTGCGCGGGGAGCTGGGGGAAGAGGAGCTGCTGGGCTGGTCACGCTGCGGTTTGGGAGAGGCGAGAGGCTGGCGGGGTATTTATTTCCAACACACAAATGCCACCGCTAAGAGCTGCCCTGGTCACAGGGAGGCTCCCAAGACCCCCGAGCACCCACCCCACAGCCGGGGGAGAGGGGCTGGTGGTGGTGGGGCTGGTACCGGTGGTGGGCTCCCACCGGTACCTATCCCGCTCCGTCACTGGGACCTGAGATGCTCAGAGCACGAATTACCCGCCCCAGCCCATTCCCGGCTCCGCCGCGAGCTCGTGTTCGTGCCGTCGGCAACCTCCCGCAGCCGGCTGACTCCTGCTTTTCTCCTAACAAAGAACAGGAGCCCGCATCGCCCAGCCCCAGCTACACCACGGC